CTACTACTACTACTACTACTACTACTACTACTACTACTACTACTACTACTACTACTATACCACTACCACTACCACTACTGCTACTACTACGAATACTAATAATAATAATACCACTACCACTACAACTACCACTGCCACTGCTGCTGCTGCTGGTGCTAGTGTTCCTGCAACATGCGACAAACTCAAACTCAGGTTCGCGATTCAGGTGTGCACCAGCGACCACTTGCTACACCCTTCTATAGAACCTCTTTTGTTGGCCAGGGCGGGCGGCGGCAGTGAAAAAAACAAGTGTGCACGTTTGACTCTGTTCACTCCGGACTGTATGTCATTAAGTGGCATTATTTAAAAAAAATATATATATGCATGCTGCACTCCCTAAAATAATGATGGAAGAAGCAGAAAATGGCCCGTCTACAAACAGGTTGTTTTCCACGTCCTTTTCAGGTAATGTATCAGAAACTTGCCAGCACAAACCCCTGGTATATAGACTAATAGAGGCAAATCGTCTTAATAAGAACTTTAAAAAGTGAGAAACACACATGCAATCACATACAGCATACTTGCATATTTGATCCATGCTGCGAGTGCAACCCCCAAGACTTTCCAACAACGTCACTGCCAAGAAAGAGCTAGACCAAAACAGCCCCTGTTCTGCGGGGACCTAAAAACAAATCTGCATGGATCATGGTTTCCCCATATCCTCGAAGCCCGGTCTTACAAAGACTTCGGATCCTTTCGATTCCCTCTGTACCGTTGACTGATAAACTTCCAGAACGATCCGGACACCCGAATCACAACCAGGACCTGCGTGCCTGGGTTCCGTCTCCCCTGGGCTCTTCACATCCCAAGGAGCTCGGCACCGCGCGCAGGCGTCGACCGCGCCCGCAGCATCTCCAGCGCCCGCGGCGACCGGCGCGGCGCCGGCGACCGGCGTGGCGGAGCCCTGGGCCGCCACGGTCTCAGCGAGGGAGGCGCCGTAGTTGGGACGCTTCCTTATGGACACATGCGGAGCGAATTCCGTGGGTTCGAAGAACATGCGGAAGAAAGAAGACATCTCAAGACTTATATCTATTATATTTATATATATTAGGTCCAAGAAGGAAGATCAAGTTCGTTGATGTTCGTTGTGCCTTTGTTTATCAAAGCTGGTGCTGTTGATCTGCTGTTCATCAGCTTGGATTCACAAAGGATCTGCTACTGTTGGGTTTGCAAGGGGATGCAGGACTGATCACCCGGATCAGTGGGAGGCGGGATGCAAAGGTCGGTTGGGGTCACAGCCGCGAGCGTCAAGGACGGATGGGGGAGCAGCCCGCCCAATGACGCTCCGGAGCCAGGCAGCTCCAGCTGAGTTGATGCTGGCGTCCACTGGCTGAGTTTTGGCTGAGAACCGCAAGGTAAGGGATAAAAAGCTCCTTCAAAAAGCTCCGTGCGCTACTCACAGGCTTCAGGCTTCAGGAACGAATGGTGGAGGCCAGAAATGGCACTGGAACAGGAATCAGCCCTCAATTCGGCCGCAGGACTGTCACCTAAGAGGTGGGTGTCTTTGGAGTGTTCTGCGTCCGCTTTTTCTGCGTCATTTCCTGGGAAGTCGCGCTCCAATGGAGTGACCACCATCGTCGACAAACATCCTCAACATTACTCCTGTCTACAGAGATCTGTGCCTAGATTATATACTGTACATATATGTACAGAATTGCTCTGCATAGGTACTACGTACATCTACGTACTGTATACTGACACCGTTTTTGAGGGGGAAAGCGATGAGCTGCTCATACAGCTTAGGACTCCTCTTGGCGCACTCGAGCTTGGGAGACATGTCTTGGAGGTTCTGGCCGCTCCCCTCTGGTCCCATCCCTTGGCACACTCCCCTCTCGCTGGGTATGGAGTTGATCACTTCGAACAAGAAGCTCAGCTCAGTTGATTTCAGTTGAACAGTGATTCATTGGGAGGGACACTGAAAATGGCCGACGATACCGATACCTGATACCTGCGTAACCATTTCGGCACAAAGATTGGCACAAGCAGGGGTTGTGGTCTACCAGGTGAATGGTCAAGCCGTCCTACTGCATCTCCTGCCAACACTCGCGTGTGAACACATAAATATATCCACCGCTTCATATGGTTTTCAGGTCATCTTGATTTCATCTTGTCATCTTAGATTCAACAACAACAACAAAATGACAGGTTACCGCTCACCCATCCTCCCCCGCCCCCCCCAGAAAAGAAGAGAACCACCCCCTCCGGCCCATCATGGGCTCCTCCACCATGCCAACTATGGAGGCCGGCCAGATGGGGCGGCCAACACCACCGTCCAAGCGTCAGGTCCAACTCCATGACTCCCATCACGTCGTGAACCGACAAACTGCTCTCCTGCAGACCTGACCGGCTCTGCGCGACCACTGGACTCGTGCGGGGTTTCCCCCGGGGTCCGTTGGAAGAGAAGGAAGGGATTTGACGTCCGCTTTTCGGGAGGCAAAGAGATGAGTCCGTGAACAAGTGGAGGAGACTTGATTCGAATGAGACAAATCTCAACAAAAGGTTGATGGAAAGAATTGGTGCACCAGCCATAAAGAGATTTCAAGCTACTCCATCTGATTGTCCCACATGTTCGATTCGATTCTTTTTTAGATGATGGGAGTTTCTCCATCGTAGCAAGCCACGTCACGTTAAAAGAAAAGGACTTTCCTGGGCCAATTCTGAATTCTGCCTGCTGGCGTATATCCAGGTCTAGAGGTGGGCAAGGAATATCCTTGATGGAGGGGTCGCCAGGATCTTCATCCAAACGGATCGTTTCACATGCTCGTAAAATCCATTTCTGGGGCTTTCAGTTCTGAACCAAACGAGCCGAGCCGGGTGGTGGGACAAAAAGAAGAAGTGGTGGAGCTCCAAAGACCGACCGCTCAATCTCATCTAAACCGCTCAATTCTGAAAAATCCAAAGCAGTTTAGAGATGCAATGAGAGTTTCACTCCCTGAAATCATAATGGAAGTGGAGTGAGTGAAAACCACCTGTTTTGGGAGGACAACGGTCCTCGGAACTTGCACCGGGAAGGAACGATTCTGTCCGAAAAACGTGTTGACGAAGCATGTTGCGTTCGAACTATGGTGGAAAAGTAGAGGGACAAAGGAGGAAGGAACTATAAGACTGTAAGATCTATCAAAATATCATGATTTGATAGCCCTTCGCTTCACAAGTCCCGGCTCACTCTTGGAGGGAATCTCACAGTGGTGTTTGGACAAAAGACTGGGGGGGGCACCAACTCCTGTACCACCTACCCCAGAATCACCCAATCTCGTGGATACCAATGGGCCGAAAAATGGGTTCTCATGAAATGTCTATAGAACAAATTCTTCGACTGTGCAAATTTCCTTCTGTGGCTGAGCCAAGCGGAGCGCTCAACCGTGCTCAACCAGACCCTTCAAATTGATCCCAAAGACAAGCCTCTGGGCAACTGAAGGATTGGAGTAGCCAATACATGTGTATGATCCCATGAATCAAGGAGGGCTTGAACTGCACATCTCGCCCAAATTTCATTGGCCAACCCATGGGGAACTGCACATCCACCCTGCAGAGTTCCTCTCAACTTTTTTGGCTCAGAGATCGCAAGTGCGCACATCGGGTTTGAGGATTGACGCACACATGGGCTGAGAACAGATTCGAAGTGGTTGAAGTGATTACTACCAAAAGCCTCTCCACAAGTTCGTTGGTGAAAGATGTGATTTCTGCTTGGAGAAAAACCTCACCCTATTCCCTTTTGCCCAGAAAGCCACCTCATTGCGCATGGGGTGAAAAGAGAACCTGCAGGGATTGCATCCACGTGGAGAATATCTCACAGTGTCCGCGATCCGAGAGCATCTCCAGCTCTGGTTTGGAGCTGAGAAAAATGCGCCAGCGAAAAGCATTTGGGTGCGGGTCATGGAGGCCTATGCCCGGGCCAAAGGCCTTGGTCTTACTTTATTGTGCATCCCGTCCGCCTCAGCCTCGTCTTGTTGCCTCCACACCAACTCAACTTGCAGTCCTCACTTGGCCTTCTGCCCTTGCGTTTTGCTGCATCTTGCACCTCGCACCAACTCATGTCACACCGGCTCAGCTCACACCAACTCGTCTCACACCTCACTCCAACTCAACTCGCACCAACTCGTCATCTCACTCACTCACTGACTCACGCACGCACGCTCGCACGCACGCACGACCTGACCTGACCTGACCTGAGCTGACCTCACCCCACCTCACCCCACCTCACCTCTCTCTCTCTCACTCACAACAATATATACTGTAATACATGCATGTTCACCATTGTCCACCCATCCTTCACATCTCCGCTCCTCATCCAATTCTTCACATCTGCTTGCTTCTTCCTCTTCCCTCCGCTTGTGCCAACACAATAGCTATCACAATAGCTCAAGACGGTGGGATGATCCGGTCCTTCAATTAAGGTTGGGCACCCCTATCCTCTCCTAGCAAGGTTCCATTGGAAAACTCCGCATGTTCGGGCAGCACAGGCTTGTCCATGACTCAGAGCCAAACTGTTCGACCTGAAGGGCCTCCACCTGGGTCAGAATCAGCCAGTATATTATATTCTACTTTATAAATATTATATTATATATTAGATTCTGTAGTATCCATATACTTAAACTTATGATGGTATTGGAGTTGTTCTCCCCAACTCCAGCAACTACCAGCGTCACACGTCTCAACCATCAAATTGTCACCAGTATATTACGGTATGTTGATTGATTGATATTGATTGTATAGAATCGCACCATTTGGGTGCGTAGTGGAACAGTGAGACCCTCCAACCAAAGGGTGAACTCGAGGTTTTGAGGCCTTAGACAGCAGGTCTGAATCCGTTGAATCCGTTGACCGGTCCCATCTGTTTGCTTCGACTCCTTGACCGTTCCTGCCCGAGGGGGTTGGAGGCCTTTCAATGCATTTTCCGGCATCTCACCTCAGGGTGGCTGCCAACGGGCCAAGGTGACTCCGCCTTTTCTCCGCGGACTATCCGTCCGTCGCGGGCGATCCGTACGTCGGTGTTCCTCGGTGACGTCTGGGACGGTTTGGTGCTTCGACTCCCCTTAGCTGTCGAGAAGACTAGATCAGTTGAAGCAGTTGAAGCAGCCCCCTGTTTGCGAACGTCAAACATCCCATGAATTTCACAGATGGAGCAACCACTCAACAAAATCCAGAGCTTGCTGAATCAACCAGAAAACTGGTGCTTTCTACTTGAGCTTGCTGGATCAAGATATGAGTCTCAGTCGTTGAAAAACGAAGATCCGGTAAAGTCACCCTGTGAAACCGACCTGGGACGTGGAAGACAGACTGTCTTCTTATTCGGCAATGCAGTCAACAGCTGAAGAAAGGCTCACGAGGCAATCGAATCGAACTCCTTCCAATCAACTCTCAGGACACACAGAGTTGCACCAAACAAAGGGGATTGGACGGCCCTTTAAACTATTCAGAATCGTTCAGAATGACTGGTGATAGATGGATACTGACAAACCTCAAACAACGAAATCTATTTGTCAGTCTTTGGGTAAGATCTAGACAGTATAATTGTGTCGTTTGCGTTTCCGACCAGTGGTGTCTTCCACGTCTTGTTGGTTTCGTGCGCTTTTGACAAACAAAACGTGCTGGACCCTCAGATTGAGGTGCTTCAAAAAGTTCTGTGGAAACGATACTGCCCTGCCATCCGCAATTCCACAAAACGATTCAGGGCTTCGACTGTGTTTCTGAAGGTCTTCACGTGGTCAGGGCTGCAGGGGCAATCAAATAGAGATGACAGGGCGATGTCTGATTCTCACAAATACTACATCCAGCGAATAGGGTGTTCGTCGCAAGCACATCATCACGAAAATTGCTTGCAAGAGGCATGGCAAATGACCTTCATACAAACTTGAGCTGCTATTTGGGAGCTGTCCATTTGGTTTGCTTGGGGATTGCATCAACTAAACTTGGTGTCCTGAACCAAAACCAACTAAAACAACTTCACAACCAATTTGTTGTTGCATCAACTGAACCAATTAAATAGACTTCACGCCCAATGTGACTGAAGAAGGTCAACCAACTAAATCAACTTCATGATCGATGTGTGTTGAATCAACTGAACCAACTAAACTAACTGCATGATCAATGTGTGTTGAATCATCCGAACCAATTTGAATCAACTCAACCAACTAAACCCCACCAGGATAGATCCCAATTTGCATCACATCTCACAGGTTCCCACGCCTCTGGTCTCAAGGACCCTCCGGAGCTGTGCCGGTCGGCGGCCAAACGCAGCGGCTCGATCGAGGGGGTGACGCTCGTGTTGAAACAGCGGTAACGGTTGGCGCGTGGAGGGACGGGTGTTTGCGCGTGTGGTTACGATGCCAGGACGACCAATCTGAGAAGTCGTGCTCCCCCAAGTCGGAGCCAACCCGAGCAGTTGCTGATCGTCTTTTCCCGCAATCTGCTCAGCCACTACGGTTCGTCCGGTTCGTGTCAGAATCAATGTCGGCAGGGTTTGCGCCGAAATCCGTAAGAGAGCTGAGTGTGGCGCAACCAGAACCACGCCATCTGTTTCTTATCTTCTCCATCTTATTCGGGTTGAGCTCTTGACACAAACAGAAACCCTCAAAACCCCATTTACTGTACATGTGAAGCTCGCCATCACTTGCACTTCGGATGTGGTCAGGTCTGAGCCCCACTCAGCTGCTCCGGTCCGGTCGGTGGCAAAACGTCGCAAGACTCATCGCATTCGACGAGCTCTTGACGCTTCGACGCATACGTTTTCAGAGAGTCCAATGACCGATGTTTCCCCCGGCCCATGATTTCCATACCCAAACATACCCAGACATATCCAGACCATCCATGGGACTGGAATAGTGACATCTAAATGTATATAGGTCATCAATGAACTACAGTATTCCTATCCCATGGAGGGTCTGGGACCCTGCCCTCATTGACTCACTGAGCACGTGGCTTCTGTGGCTGTTCGCGAGACCGAACGCTTCACCTACCGACGGATGATGGTTTGCTACGTGGGTGGACTGGTCGGGCTCCAAGTGTTGGAACCAGCTCCATCTCTTTGGATCGCATCGTTCGTTCAATTGGACTCCCAGTGTTAAAATGAAAGGAACCCCACGCGCGAGTCGAAGCCCACGGCCCGTTTTTGACACCGAGACACAGGGCGTGAGTACGTCGTGTTTTTTTATGCGGACGTGGTACTGCCTGGTTCCGAGATCCACATAGAACCTGCAAAACCACTGGGTTGCTGTCAATTTACAAGTTCCATGTTAATTCTTCCCGGGTGTTCAGGATTTGGGTATCCATGCTGTGGACAGGTGCTTTTCACTGGTCGGGCACATGGGTGACTTGCTGCAGTTTTCCCATCTGGGCG